GTAAGTTTAGATTGGATATCAGGAAACACTTCTTTACAGAAAGGGTTGCTAAGCACTGGAATAGACTGCTCAGGGAGGTGGTTGAGTCACCATCCCTGGTGCTCAGGGCCACGATTTAGCAGAGGGTTGTTAGAGTCAAGGTATTATCGTTAGGTTCTGGTTGGACTCCATGATCTTGAAGGTCTTTTCCAACCTGAGCTATACTATGACTCTAAGATCTAAACAGAGAAAACGTTACATTACCTTCCTTTACTGGGTGGAGTCCTATGGTGGTCTCTCAGTAATTAGTTGCTGTAAATGCTAGTATGAAAACTTAAAACTACAAAAATAGGATTCTAAAAGACAGGCCTAGATAAGTAGAAGGAAATGTTTTCAGAATAATGTGCATGTAAACGAAGTGGGCACAAATAAATTGGTCTAGAAGAGGTCTCCAGGAAGTGATCCACTGGGAGACAAAGGATGGGACTGTAAATCAAGAGGCAACACCTTGAATCACTTGCTTCAAATTTTGACACAAAACACTATGCATGTACCAGCTGCAGTCATTTATAGCATCTCTTATTCCTTTGCTCATTCATAACTGTTCCTTTTGTTCAACACTGGAAGAACAGTACTAGTAAAAATGTGTTTTCAAGGACTCTGCATCCTGAGTCCTGGACTGCTAGTGGTACCCCCAGCATCTCCCAGAATGTGATGCAGGGTAGTGCATGGCAGGGAGTGTACCAATGTACAGGAAGATGAGACAGTTCTAGATAGTTTCACAGAGACATCACCTGCACAGATAAGAAATGTACTTTGCTACTTTCAGCACAAGACAGCAGAGAATAACCTGTCTTATCTACTAGCACAACATAAGACTCTAATAATTCTGCTGACAAGAATGCAATTACTTCCTCACCCTCTTCTAAAATCATCGCTGATTTTGATTGCCCAAGTTGCCCCACAATTGGAGATGGTGCAGGAAAACTTGGAGTAATGACTGAAAACCAGATACGCACCATTGCCTCCATGCAGCTGAACGATTCCCTTTCTTCTTTCCTTCTGCTTGCTAGTCACGTCAGAAAGCCTCATTACAAAAAATGGTCTCCCACTTGGGGTGTGCACTTTTTGAAACCCTTGACAAGCAGAAGAGGAGAGCGGGACAAATAGTGGAATATAAACAATTCCATGAAGCCAGCCCCTCATTTTTATTCTGATTTTTTTTTTTTTTTTTAATTCTGTTTTCCACACCCATTCACATGTATGAGTTAGTATTTGCATAAGTGCTGGGAATAAGGGCCCTTAAAAGTACTTATTCATATGCAAACAAGGCTATTCACTCTTGTTCCAAAAGTGTTTGCCCTCTGTTTACAAGGCTTCAGTAGCTAAACCACAAAGTAGAAAAAAAAACCATCATGAATTCCAGCTGGTCAGTGATATACCATCAATAACATTAATTGTCCCAAAGATAAAATCAAAGAAGCAGGCAGAAAAATACTGACACGGATGGCATCTTGATCCAACGACCTACTGAGAATAAACATACACAAATCAGACTCTGCACACAGTGATTCAGAAAACACTGCATTTGCTGATAAGCTAGTTGCCTGATAAAGAGGCGCATCTACTACAGCGGAGAATGCCTTAGCACCTACCTCTGCTTTTTGCTGCCACATAAGGAAACCCCTGTTTCAGTGTTTTATCATTTGCTTCATTCCGACGTCCAGGAGCAAAGCAATCCACAGAAAGAAAAGAAAATCTCCCTAAGAGATGTTAGGGATGCTCACCTGGGAACATAATTCAGCTTCTCAGCGCTGACTCAGATAAAACAAGTACTTGAACTTGCTTTTCTCTGTCCCTAGTAAATTGGAACACCAGTATCTTCTAGAGATGTTAACATTTTGTCATATTCAGCAACTAAAACTCTTTTAACTCTACAATTTTTTTTTTCTTTTTTTCTTTTTTGCTTGCTTTTTAATTTTACCAGCAAACGCCTGGTGAGCTGAGTGCACTTGCCTTACATATATATGATTCATATATATGATTCAGACTCAAATTCCTCTTCCACACTGGGCCTACCCTGAGCTTTTGAACATATGTTGAGCAGTTTCCACAGTACTGAAGTAATCACTTACAGGGCTAAGTGATACATGGGCATCTCAATCTCCTTCCTGGGGGAGATGTGTTCAAGTAAAATGAATAAACAGAATCTTTGCAATTCTCTTCCTAGGATATACTGCTTTTTAGGTGGATCAGCATTTTCTGAGATAAGATTTTATTGAAAAACAAACAAACAAACAAACCCAACTGTTTCTCATTCTGCAAGAACACAAGAACTAAACTGAAGAATTATGAGAAGGTTCATCTTCTGATAATATGGGAAATTCTGTACACAACATACGTTGGTTGTAAATTCTACTCAAACATAAAAGAATGGCGTTGATGTGGTATTTTTTCCCAATTAATGCTTTGCTACAAATATTCTATCAGTAGTTTCAGATACGCTGTTTCTTTCTTCCTCAGTAAATGTTCTGAAAAGAGAAAGGTCAAATTACTGCATAAGAGGTAAATTTCGAACCGTCTCAAACGAACTAATTTTCATAGAAACTAAGAAATGCTGGATCACATCTTGGCGTCAGTTATGACAGCTTAATCATACTGACACAGATTTCACAACCAAAATTTTTCTTTCGCATCTGCTGTCTAACAAAAAAGAAATCACAGCATGATCAACATTCATTCCGTATGCACAGCAAAACCAGTCTATATTGCAGTTAAGCTTTTGAAGATCTCTTTGCTAGAAACACTCTCCACTTTTTAAGAACCAAGAGCACACACCTTGAACACCGTGACCTTCCCTTCCCAGGAGCCCAGGTATGCTGAACTGTATAGCAGAACCAAGAAACGTATGGCAGAACTGTATGGCAGAACCAAGAACCTTCTCCAGTGGTGGTCAGTTTCAGACCAGAACACTTCTCTGTCAGCAGCTGAAAACAGAGCAGGAAATGACCTCTGAGAACAAAAATAATACCGTGTGCATTTTTATGTATGCCAACAATCAATACAACAGAGAATGGGAGAATTCAAGTCGCAAGCATTCAGAACATGGTTGTAAAGGGAAATTATTCTGGTGACCTCTCAAAATGTATTAAAGATTTTCTTGCCAAGTTCAGATAGGTTGATTGAACTTGATTAATTCAATAGTTTTCATTTTAAAGTGAACTGCTTCTTTCTTCCTTCTCCAAAAGATTTTCCATTTACTGGAGTTATCTTTGGTTGAGATATATGATTTTCTCACACATTTCTCTCATTTTCAATAGAGTCAGGCTGCAGCAATCAGTAGGAGATACAGAAGAATTCTACCCTGATGTACATTTTGATAGAGATCCATTTTTGCATTCTCTTATAGTTTGCATTTGTACTGAGTATAAGCTGCACGAGGATAGCAATTGATTTACAAAACAGACTGCATGCAGTACATACAAACTGATTCCTCTTACCAAACAGAAATGTCTTTCTGAATGCAACAGCTTGCTGCAGAAGAGTATGCTGAGCTGAAAAGCAAATACAGCTATCTGATTAATTGATTCTGACCTCATAAATATTATACTTTGGGGGCTCTAATGGAACTTCCTGAGGGTAAATTGCACGGTTCACCTCATTCATTTATATCTCTGGCTGACAGATGTACATTATGAAATGTCACTGAATATGCTGGCAATAAATGAGATATAACATTAGCATCTTGGTTCTGTTTTCCTGAAGGAATGCTTTTGTTAAAGAATCCCACACCGGTAAAAATATTATTCTCTACCAGGTTTACATCTTTCTATTTTAATCAGTCTCCCAGAAATACATACTGGCCTTTCAAAAAAAAAAAAAAAAAGAGAGAAAATGCCCATAAATTAATGAAACAAGCTGCTCTTTTGTTGTACGTGTTTCCATTGTGAAGCTATATTGTTGGAGAGTATTAGGCTGTGACAGGCATTTGATAGCATAGTAGTCACACTAATGTTGTGGTTATTATCTTTACTACCATGCAGTGAAACACAGTTAATTAAAATACAGCAAAGAAATTGTTCTCTCCCCAACCCACACATAAATGAGGCGATAAATTTGTTGTTGTGGTCAGCATACAGTCTCCCTTGACCCTCTGCATGTGTTTAGACATTATTCCTTTATATTTTATTTTTCATTTTATTGCCATTTGAGACTGATATAACTGCACGTAGAGGTCTAGGGAATAACAGCAAATAACCATGACATGCACAGTTTAATGAAATGATAGACTGTGGTGCATTACAATAAAACTCATAAGAATATATGCCAGACTCCTGTAAGGTGCACAAATTCCAATAACCCATTAATCCTTGCTAGGAGCAGGCCATTACTGCAAAGGTAACTTTGCTGAGGGATGGAATGAGGTGAAGGAGAAGAAGAAGGGAGGGAGGGAGGCTGTGTGAGGAATAGAGCTACCGGTGAGTGCAGCAGTTAGAGGAAATAAACCATCCCTGTGGGATTAAACCTGCTTTTAACTATCCCCTTTCCTCCCGCTGTTGGGGCACAGTTGTTACAAAGGACAGCACTAGAAAAACATGTAATTTATCCCTCACTAGTCATTGACAGTGCTGCTACTGCAGTCTTATGAGTCCAAGTGAGGCTAAAAGATACACCGTTGCCTCTTTGACAGCTTCTGGGGAGCTGCAAGGTGTCTGGCTGCTGCATCTCTGCACAAAGGCAGCAGTACCAGGAGCAGCCCACACCTGTAGCTGCTTCCCAGATGCTGGATGCAGGTGCAATTCCCTCCAAAAAAAAAAAAAAAAACCTGCCTGTCAAGCTCCATCCCCTCCCCTTCACAAGAGGAGTAAGACAGAGTTAGGAAAATGGCCATTACAGGGTTTTGCCAAGGCTGCAGACAGGTGTTGCAAGTCGGTTAGAATATTTGTGCCTGCTACTACATCTGTGCATGTATGGATTTATTCTTGGGCACAGACCACAGCTGTGCTGTAAAGAGACTGCAAAGACCTCGCAGCCTTCACACGCGAGTTCACAGGTCAGATGTCACTTCAGTGCTTATACTCTTTGAGTTCATGCTTTCAGAAAGGCCAGAGATCCTGTGCGAGATGCAAACGGAGCACTACCTAGCAACAGGAACGGAAATACAAGGCGTTGCTTTTGCATCATCTCTTCTCTCTGTGCTGTGAATGCTTCTGGGAGCCACCAAGCAATGGAGTCAGGCTCAAGGTGGCTGCAAGGGGAAAGCAGCAAGTGTCCTTGGCACACAAGGATGCTTGGGTGCCAGGGACCGGGATGCTATGGGAAAAGCTCCTCCCTGTACCATTTATTTGCTTGGTTAAGGTCACAAGTCAGGCACTATACAATTTATGAGGTGGTTTGTTGTTGTTGTTTATTTATTTTTGTTTTTTAAAGGCAGTGGAGCTGAGAGGAAGCAAGTTATAAATACTGAGGCACTGCCTTCTTGTTCAGGCTTTATAATTCTTGTCTTGATTCTGCTAACAAAGATGCAAATATTGATAACAGAATCTGAATGTTATGAAGTCTGCTAACACTATCTATTAAAACAGGAGTGGAGATACAGAATCATAGAGTCAATCACATCCAAGATCAATAAGTAGGATCTTTGGTCTAGGGAATATTTACAAGATTATATATGTTTAGGCTTAGACAATTAGACGTGGCTATAAAAGGCAGTGCCAAGAGAGTATAACTATGGTGATTCTGGGTGGCTTTCTCCTTTCCATTTTTTTTTTTGCCATTTAAGATTACCTATTGCTTCTGCTTCCATCCGGCACACAATTAAGAAAAACAAAACATAGAGAACTGGCACATTGTATGAATACAATAAATGCAAGTGCTTTTTTTAGTGCAAGGATTACAGCAAAGATCCAACCGTCAGGCAGAGGGAACAGTTCCTTCCACTCATAACATTCAAAGAGGCCACAAAATCTCTGCAAGCAGTCTTTGCCTGCCTACCATCACACCCACACCTTGGCTGAAAATTCCCTTGGATGAAGCAAGGGAGCTAGTCCATGCTGCCTTGTAACAAGGGCTGTCATCATGTGCATGATTACCTGGCCCATAAACCAGGCTCGCAGTTACGCAGTGCCCGCAATCTAAACCTGCCCAGGCTTTACATAATCAAACTGCTCAGAGTCCACTTGCTCTGGGCATGCACCCAGTTTTCTCCTGTTCCAAATGCCTGTACATCATCAAAATCTTACCTCCTCACAGACTGGATTTTCACTATGCAGACACCAGCAGATGCTTTTGACTCCACAGTTGTACATTTCTTAAAGCTTTTTTTAGTGCTTTCTATTCACCACACTTCTGTAAATGAACCAGTCAAAACATCATTAATTTTCCCTCTACTAACTCACCACATTCTGAGGGTACAATATCCAACAAGCTCCATTAATGTCAGAGATTTGGAAGTTTCAAGTTTTATTTTTTCCTCAAAAATCAGCTGCTTGATCTCTAGGAAGGCAAGCCTAGCCCTACAATTACCAGTGTCTATAGTGCCATGTGAGATCTCTTTTACAAGGCATTTGGTCAGTAGTGCTTAAAGAATTGATGCCCACCAACAGAGCCACTCAGCTCTGAACAGACAGATAGACACATCATTCAAAGAATTCTCTTTTTCCAAGTGACATTTCTGTAGGAAAAAATTCTGGGCTGCTCTTTACCTTTAAAAGGTCTGATGAGCATTGCAGTCTCCTTCCTTTTAAAGCAGGTACCTGCACCATCACATTACTCATTTCTCTTTTCAGCCTAATGGCCAGCAGGCACCCTGTTGTAGCCATTGGCAGCTCTCTCTGTGTTGTGATTCAGTGGCTCCCAACTAAGGTCAGGAGGAATAACTTTGGGTCAGTTCAACATACGTATCTCTGGAAGGAAGGTGAAGGAGAGCAGAAAAGAAATGAGTCCAATATATGCCAGAGGATTAAAGGAGCTTAAGATGTATAAGCTTACAGTGTTGAACACTTAGCAATAGTAATAAGAGCGTTCTCTATGCCAGGAAAGATAACACAATCTGGAAGCCAGCAAAACGTGCAGAACTTGCTTAAAAATCATGGTAGATGTTCATGATGAAGAAACAAAGTATTTCTAAGATAGTGGAGTGAATGTCTGTTTGGCAGACAACTATTAGCTGAGTACACTTTGTGGTTATGCAAAGTTTAGCTTCCAGGAACTCAGATGGACTGATCAAAATCAAACCAAAATGGTTGCAAGGAGGCAAATTTTGTTTCACCTCTCTGACCTTCTAATTCCCACTGAAGAATGAAACGGTGCTTTAAACCACTTTTTCAAGTCAAGCCACGTTGCCTAATCTCAAATATTTTTAAGCATTAGAAGGCCATGGTGAGGGCTGGGAGAGAGGAGAGTTGAGAAAAGTATAAAGCAAAACAACAACCTTTAAAAAAATGCATATGAAAGATTTTGTGTAATCCCAAAACAAACCATGAGCTCTAAATCTTTTAAGAGAAGAATTTTGCTCCTGTTAACAAGTTTAACAAGAGACCATTCCCACCTTAAGCCGCAGCCAGCAGAGCTCATCTGATTGAATGTGGCTTTTTTTTTTCCCCCATGCTGGACTAAATCAAATTACATCTCCCTTCCTACAGGAAGCTGCAGAGAAGATAATAGTTAAAAAAAGAAAAAAAAAGGAGAGCCTCTAAGGGATGAGACTTTGCTAACTCCTCCTCATGAGGCTACACCATCTGATTCAGCATGCATGATCCATGGTTTTTTAGTTATGCATGTATATATAATACTTTTTATCTAATGCATTCATCTTATCTAATCAGTTCAAATCATTAACTGACAGTGGTTACGTACATCTTTCTCCATAAATCTTCAGTGAAATACCACACTGAATAATTTATAAGAACCTATTTTGCTGATTTTTGTGCTAAGCTTGATACCTGCAATATATCTGAGGGAACAGTGGAAACAGGACGTGGTAGAGGTGTTTGTTCCCAAAGCAGAGGGATACAGGGTTAAGGTTATATTTGCCAAGAGTGGGAAAAGACGTTATGTCATCCACACAGTAATCTCAATATGCTGATGGAGAAGAATAATGTTGCTTGCATTATTGTTCATGCATACAAGCAAACCACAAGGCAAGCAAGACAAGAGTTGGAAGGTGCTTGCTGAGGCAGAAGCCAAAAGAACCAAAAAATATGGGTTACAGAGGTAAAGAAAGAGGCTGGGGAAAACCCACAAACACTGCCCAGCTTCCAACTTTTGGAACAGATCTCCTAATTAGAAAAAGCATTGGAAAGAAACACGAAGCCAGATCCTGCTTTTGATTTCCTAATTTCAATCTTACCTGCAAAGAATTAAAAGAAGAGCAGCAATACCACAAAGATTTGAATGAGTTACGCTGAGGTGTGAATACATGCTGCTCTTCAAAGCGGCAACCTCCAACACGAGTTCTTCTCTCTTTCACGATGCTTCTCTCTTCTCTTTTAACGAGCTCTTCCCTTAATTTTAATCACCTCGGTCTCTCTGCAGAGCTGTACGGGAAAATGCTGCCATCCAGCGGCATTCTTAGTGCCTGCGGGATGGGGAGGTGGGGGGAGCGGAGGGCCGGGCGTTCTTCCCAGCCTTGAGCAGAGAGAAGAAAAAGGGGCTCAGGAGCTCAAGTTCTAAGGGCTGCTGGCTTCCTGCACTCTGTTGTCAGCCACGATTTTCTCACACCGATGGTACGGCAACTCCAAGCATCCTGCAAAGCAAACTGGTGGTACATCAGCTGAATCCAGCTCATAAACAGGCTCATGTGTGACTTAGAGGATTGAGAAGTCCTGATGTTCTTATTTTCTTTCTTTTTCTTTTTTTTAGTACTTAAACCAAACTGCACAGAAATTGAAACAAATGGCTAATCCTAAAATGTTGTTTGAAAAGTATGAAAATACATTATTCTGCATGCAAAATACTTCAAGTTTTCCTCACTTAGGGTTCTTTTTTGTTTGTTTGTCTCCCAGTGCCGAGAAATTCACAGTTTCTCAAGCTAAGAATTGCAGTCTACTTCCATGTTACAGAATCACAGAATGGCCCGGGTTGGAAGGAACATCAAGGAACATGAATCTCCAACCCTCCTGCCACATGCAGGGCCATTGACCTCCACATTTAATACTAGACCAGGCTGTCCAGGGCCCCAACCAACCTGGTCTTGAATAACTCTAGAGATGGGGCATCCACAACCTCTCTGAGCTGCTGTTCCAGCACCTCACCACTCTCTCTGTAAAGAATTTCCCCCTGACATTTAACCTAAAATCTTCCCTCCTTCAACTTAAAACCATTTCCCCTTGTCCTGCTGCTATCTACCCTTTCCAAGAGTTGACTCCCCTCCTGTTTGTAGGCTCCCTTTAGCTACTGAAAGGCTGCAATGAAGCCACAGCCTTCTTTTCTCCAGGCTGAACAAGCCCAGCTCCCTCAGCCTGTCTTCATAGGGGAGGTGCTCCAGCCCCCTGATCATCTTCATGGCTCTCCTCTGGACCCTCTCTCTGTCTTTCTTGTACTGGGGGCTCCAAATCTGGACACAGTACTCCAGACGGGGCCTCACAAGGGCACAGTAGAGGGTGACAATCACCTCCCTGTCCCTGCTGGCCACCCCTCTTCTGATGGAGCCCAGAACACCATTTGCTTTCCAAGCTGCAAAGGCACACTCCTGGCTCTTCTTAAGCTTTTCATCCATCAGGACCCTCAGGTCCTTCTCAGCAGGGCTGCTCTCAAGAACTGCTCCTCCCAGTCTGTATAAATGCCTGGAATTCCTCCGGCCCAAGTGCAAAACTCTGCACTTTGCCATGTTGAACCTCCTTAGGTTCACCCAGGCCCACCTTTCAAGTCTGTTGAGGTCCCTCTGAATGGCATCCCTTCCTTCCATGATGTCAACCACACCAGTCAGCTTTGTGTCATCAGCAAACTTGCTGAGGGTGCTCTCAATTCCCCCATCGATGCCATTGATGAAGATGTAAAAGAGCACTGGTCCCAAGACAGACCCCTGGGAGACGCTGCTCATTACCAGCCTCCACCTGGACACAGAGCCATTGATGACCACCCTGTCTGCAACCTTCCAACCAGTTTCTTATCCACTGAGTGGTCCACCCATCAAATCCACATCCCTCCAATTTGGAGATAAGGATGTGGTGGGGGACCATGTCAAAGGCCTTGCTCAAGTCCACGTAAATGACATCAGTCACCTTCCCTTGTCCACCGATGCCGTCACTCCATCCTAGAAGGCCACCAGATTGGTCAAGCATGACCTTCCCCTGGTGAAGCCATGCTCGCTGTCTCGGATCACACGCTCATTCCTCAAATGATCAAGCATGTCGTCCAGGAGGATCTGTTCCATGATCTTCCCAGACACAGAGGTGAGACTCACTGGCGTGTAGTTCCCCAGGTCCTCCTTGCTCCCTTTCTTATTCATGGCAGTGATGTGACCCTTCCTCCAGACATCCGGGACCTCACCTGACAGCCACAACTTCTCAAATATGATGGAGAGCTCAGCAACCACCTCAGCCAGCTCCTTCAGAACCCTGGGATGCATGCCATCCAGCCCCCTAGACTTGTACACACTCAGCCTCATGAGTCTCGGACTTGCTCTGCCCTTACAGTGGTGGAGATTTACCACTCCAGTCTCCACCTAGAGGTTTAGGGATGCAGGGCTCAGGGACGTGAGAAATACTGGAATCCTGGCTGCAAAGCATGTCTTAAAACAAGAGAGCTAGGAATGCTCTGCAAGGAGGATAAGTGGACCTAAGCCCTCAGAACTGGTAGAGCATTCAAGCTCCTATTGAACTAGAATTAAATTATTCCTATTTCTAACTCCACCCAGGATAGTAGGGCTGGAAATTGAAGTTCGTATAATAGAGTGCCTCTGTTTTACAGGCTCAGGAAACGTTTGCAGCTTTCACTTGTCATGACAACGATCATGTATTAAATGTGTCTCTGACACATTTAGGAACACGTAGCATTTTTAGCACAAGACTTACCTGGGATATCCACCCGGGTTGCCATACTCATAAGGACATATTTTTTTCTACCAATCATTAAATGAAGATATCAGAGAGAAAATAGAGCTGTGGGTGATCTGCATGGTCACCAACACACCCCATGAATCAACTGTGACTTTTCATATCTACCACCATCTGTCTCACACAAAACCTGAACTAATTACTGAGCAGTCCCTTATTTTATCAATTTATTTATGAATTATTCAGTCTGCTCTTCTAAGCTCTCTCCAAGTTTAGTACGGTCCACAAGCATTACCTTGGAAAATACATAGGTAGCTCTGAAAGCAATGCCTCCTATTTATTTTCACAGAAATTTCAACAGATAAAAAGAGCACAATAACACTATCTGATAGAGAACATTCAGCTACAAAACACTATTTTTCAGCATAGTCGCTACCGTTAGCTGTACATTTTCACCAGTCATTTTCAGCTGCTTCTTGTGCTCAAAGAAATCTGCACCAGGGAAAGTGACCTGCTGTCACCACTGGTGAAACACACCACCCACCATCTCACTGTGCTCACATCCACTGTTTGGTCTTCATAAACTAACAAGCGCCCATGAATGTTAATGGTTGCAATTATTTCCTCATGGAGGAATCCAGTGACACACCTTTGCTTCTTAAGCATGTTGCATGCCATTTTGTCAGATTGCCTCTCTGTTGTCATCTGTTGCACAGCAAAAAAGAAAAAAAGGAATATCAACAGGAAAGTTCAATCTCTAGTGCCATACCACCAATATCCACATCTGATTTTGTGGGCCAACATAATAGGAGATATTACTTTCAGAACAGTCCTCATATATAAGGAAATTAAAAACTTGAAGCCTTGCTGTTTTTTCAGGACGTCTGGCAGAAATAAAATTGATCCTG